ACAGTTTTTTAAAATAAAAACAAAAATATGCAGTTGTCCATAGCAACCAGATATTCCTGCATCACTTTCCACTTTCCTGCATCACTTTCCAGTCAGGGGTGCTTCATTATTTGCTATGGTTACTGCACTTTACACACTGTGCTTTATCTTATTAAGAACAGTATTTTTTATGTAGCAATAATTTCAAAATGCAATAAAGAGCTGATTTACTAAACACTATAAGTTTTACACCCCGTGGTGAACTGTGTTTGCTTCATATATTCAATTACCAATAAAAAAAGAATAATAACTTTAAACAGATTGGCTGTCTGAGGGCAAACAGAACTAGCATAAAAGCTGTGTCCTATGGTAACTGTCCCCAGACTATGCTCAATATGTATGCAGAAGGTTCTCTGATCAGTTAAGGTCAATTAGAGCTATGGGGGGACTCTTATTCCCCCATCGTCAGTGAAAGACGCATGCCAAACGCACCTGAAATACCTATGTGCACTAACCTTAATGGTGGACTGACAGTCTGCTAATCTTTTTTCAATTAACTTTTACATTTTTAAAAAATATTTACAATTAGCTTAGTGTGCAGCAAACAATGCGACTCTGATTAATACCCTTAAATCCTAGAAATGATTTGCATGCATCATCTTTACAGCACATTGCAAATTATATGAGATCAAATAGAAGAGAATCAGCCGAGAGTTACCATGATCATTATGATTATGATAACAGAGCAAGCCGTCCAAATTTAAACATCACCATTTGAATGTAAGCAAAAAAGTTACATTTTTGAAAGATCCACGCCAGTGGTATCATTTATAAAAAGAAGGCTAAAGCTTTATTTTCTGTTTGGGTTTTGTGTTTTTTTTTTTTTTTAGTATTTTCCCAGTTCAGGATTTTGCCTGCAAAGCATGCACATGAAGATGGAAGGCTTTACCTGCCCATTTGCCAAAGGGAATTGGTGCACAGCCGGCTCTGGTGCAGTGGGCACAGACATCAAAGGTAGGAAGGGGTCACAAGGGACTTGCCAGGCAGGTACCCCCTGCAGCAAAGGTGACGGGTGGGGACAGGACACAATAAACGGAGGGGGCACGGCACCTATCCGGAAGACGCCAGGTGTATCCGGGACCATGCACATCCAGGGAGCTGGTTCAGCGTTCACCGGCCAGAGAAAAGGCTGCCGCTTGATTCTTGATATGGGAAGCATCCTACATCTTATATATCCAGCTGCACCAGGATTTTGCCTCCCACAGAATGGGGTTTGACCAGGGATGCCAGCAAGCTCCCCTCTATCCTGCAACAGAATCCTCTAACATCCAAATCCCAGTAAGAGCAGCGCGAGTCCTGCATGCCTCTCTGCTGTGTAGAGGAGAACTGTGTAATAAGACTTCACTGCTCACTAGCCAGGCAGCCAGTCCCCTCCCTCCCCATCTCACTTAGCACAGCTCTCACCCTCCCTGCCTTCCTGCGTGCACATCATACCTACTGATTCCGTGTCTCACATCATCCCGTGCTGGAAGCTCATCCTAGAAGCCAACAAACTGCAAAAAAAAAAGCACAGCAGCATGAAAAAAATGTACTTCTGCACAAGGATGTGAGAGATAGAGAGTTTTTGTTTCTCCAAAATCAGGAGGTTTCTGTGAAATATCAGCAAAATGCAATAGGAGCCAATGAGAAGTAGTGATGTTCAGATACCAAGTACCGTACCTGGAACAAGTACAAGTACAAGTACAGATACTTTTCCAGCTCTAGGACTAGACTAGAGAAAAATTCAAAAGTTAGGAGGTAGCTGTCATTTTTAAGAAGCATACGGAGCTCCTGGGATTTGTACATCCCCATTTTAATGCATTTTTTTTAATAAATATATATTAGGGATGCACCGATGCCATTTTTACAAGTACAAGTACTGATACTTGTCCAAGTCCTCACAGATACAAGTACTGATACATTTTAGTTTAGTGTCATGTGACAGTTTTTGTAAAACAATACAGACTAATGATTTCAGGACAGTGGTGGAGTGCCAGAGTCCGGTCCCAGCTGCAACACTGATAGTTCTCGTGAAAATGCCAATTATCGGCACTGGTATCTGAACTAGTATCTGAACATCCCTAATGACAAGGGTTCAGTTGACTATAAATGGCTCCATAGGGTAAAGCTGGCCATACAAAGCGGCTTAGTGGTTAGTGGGTTAACTGTGGGTAACTGGTGATAGGATTCTGTTTGTGTAAGGTGTTCTATTTTTTTTCTATAGGTTGAACTTGTGTCTTTCTTCAACCGATGTAAGTAGCACTTCTGCCTTACAGCGCTGGGGGTCCCTGGTTTGAATGCTGGTCAGGACTCTATGTGCGTAGAGTTTACATGTTCTCCCTGTGCTTGCGTGGGTTTCCTCTGAGTACTGTGATTTCCTCCTACATTCCAAAGACATGCTGGAAGGTTAATTGGCCTCTATCTAATTAGCTCTACTATGTGTATGTATGTAGACATGAAACCTCGCAAAAAAATAATGTTGTTATGTTTCTGATCAATTCATATTTTTTTTTCTTTAGTTTTTCCGATTTCGGATCTGAAATTTGATTTGATTCATTATACGGAATATTGGATCCATTTGAATATTCATTTCGGAACTAAGTCAAATGATCACGACTATAATGTAACCTTCAACAGCCAAAAAAACATCTGTTTGGCCAAAGAACAATCATATGTCCAAATTAGTTTAATTTTGAACAAAATTCAGACGGATCCCAATTATCTCTAAACGAGCATTCGAATCCGTTCGCATTCGGACACGCGTCCTAATGTCTGAATTTAACGAAATTCGTATGAATATCCATTCGGAATGAAACAAAATTTACATGTCTAACCTATATGAGATAGGGACCTTAGATCCTTGAGGGTAGGGAGTGACGTGCAGTATGTATAAGTGCTGTACAAGTTGTCAGCACCATATAAATACCGATAATACATAAATACAACAGTAAAATATCATTAAAAACATTTTTTTTTTAAATGTTTATTTGATTTTATGTTAATGGGGTCAAATCGACAATTACTTTCTACTGCAGCGCCAAAAAATTCTGACGAGATGGATGGATTTTCATGAACAGATGAAAATTCTAAAAGTGAATACTTCTTAATTCAGAAACCTCCATTCATTTCCAAAATTGGAATTTTGAATGACATTCACCAAGTCTCTGAAGGCATTATTGGACATTCTGATGAGATTTTTCATATGAATGTTTGTGTGAAAATCTACCGGCATGTGGACGGCTTTACAGAAGATCCTTTTAACTATCCTGGACTTGACCATAAAATGGCCTTTCATTAGCCTCTTAATGTTGTTGGTTTTCTTTGTTCCACAGAAAAACAGGTGGTAGAAAAAGTCAAATAATGCTGCTTATTATTATTATTATTCAGAATTCATATAGCGCCAACAGTTTGTGCAGAGCTTTACAATATAAAGGGAGAGGGTTAGGAGGGTCTTGTTCATGAGAGCTTCCAATCTAAAAACTGAAAGCAACAGTACAGAGAAAAACAATCTAAGACACACTTAAAGGACAATAAAGACAAAAATACAAAAAACATTAAACTAAATAAACTCGGCTGTCCTGAGTGCACCCAATAAAACCTGTAAATAAAAAAAAGTGTAGAAAACTCTTTTTTAAAGTAAAATTTGCCTATGCAGCTCAACTAGCAAAATTGAGAATTTCCGGTTTGGCAAAATTTGACTGAAAGTGAATTCAATAATTTTGCAGCAAAATCACGCTGCTCATCCCTTCATGTATAGACTTCATACTATGGGGTCTATTCACGAAGCTGCCGAAGGATCTAGCCGTAGCTTCGGCCCCAGGACCCCTTCGGTTCAGTAGAACCGAAGGGGTGCTGTACGGGCTATTCACAATAGCCCGTACAGCTCCCGAACATGGGCGAGCGGCTCAGTTGAGCCGAACGCATATGCATCGGCTCGGCTGAGCCGTGCTGAAAGCCGAAGCTGGCTGAGCGGCCGGCCATTGGCTGGCCGACAGCCTGCTTCTGGACATCGCTCCGTGTCAGAATAAAGAAAAAAAAAGACACATCAGTGCTTCTCTCCTTGGCGGCTGGGAGCGGGAAGCTCCCAGAGCGCCCGGGAGAGTTTTTTTTTTCGTTTTTTTTTGACGGCAGCAGAGTGGCATTCAGCTATTCACTCACTGCTGTTCGGCATCTATAAGAATAGGCCGAACAGCAGTGAGTAGCCTGCCGGAGGTTCGGCTCAGCCGATCCAGATGTTGGATCGGCTGAGTCGAACTCCTTCTGCACTTCGGGTCGGCCGAACATGCTGAGCATGTTCGGCTGACCCGAAGCCATGTGAAGCAAGCCGATATACGGCTGATTTCAGCAGATGTATGGCTGAAATCAGCCGTACCAGTGTTCGGCTCACCTCACTTGGGGTCGGTTGTTCACTCGGCTGCCCTCGGCAGCTTAGTGAATAGACCCGTATGTATACAAACTATAGACTCTATACAACTGTGTTCTTTATCATGTGTCTTATACCACTAATGTTAACTGCAGTACAGAGCAGTACATACGGTAAATCTTTTTCATACCTGACACACCTGACACAATGACACAAAACACAACTAATTTCACAAAGTGTTTTAATAAGAACTGTTGATAATGTCCCAATAGCAGCTAATCAAATACCTTGACATAAATATAAATATATTGATGAATCACATCAGGCTGATTTACTAAAGATGGTCTCACACACTACAATCTGATTAAACAAGCTCTATATAAAAGAAAACTATATAGTATGAGGGTCTAACAATCTGTTCAATTTGTATCCAGTCAGACAAACCCCCACCCTATATAGTCAGTAGATCTAAAGGAGGTTGAACCATCAGATTGTAATGAGTGCGGTCAGCAACTCTTAAACTTTTTTTACAATAATGAATCCAGATCAAACATACATACATTGCCCAGCCAAGCACTGCTTTACATTTTTGCCCAAACACTTCCAATCATCATGTTTCTGAACAGCTGCTTCCAAGTCTCTCAGCTCGGCTTCCCTGAACTTCCTGTCCAGTACAAGATCACAAGGGACAGTGCAGACTCCAGCAACTGCCCATCTACTAGCTTGGAGAAGGTAGGAGAGAGGAGAGGGCGCCAGGGGGGAGCTTGATTTGCTGTGTCGGTGTGTTTGATTGAAATGTAACTGTCAAAAGGTTTGTGAAAGAGCCACTGCCGGTAGCACTGCGCAAGCGTCTGTGCATGCGTATGCTCACGGTTTGACCCATGCAGTCAGGCCTGGGCATGCGTCTCAGGTTATTTAAACTGTGTCTGCCTGATGCTCAGTGCTGGATGATCTTCAGCATTCTGCTATCAAGATCCAGCATTCTGTTCCTGTACTCCTGTTGTTGACCTGGCTAGTCCTTACCCTTCAGATTCTCTTCTGTACCCTGGCCCCCTATTGTTCCTGGCCCTTCTTGTTCTTGTACCGTGCTGTCCTCATGGTTTTGACCTCGGTCTGTTCTTCAACTACGGTTTTGTCGTCTGCCTGGTAATGCATTGCCTGCTTGGTTTCCGACTTGGCCTGCTCCTGATCTCGCTACTGCCTGATCTGCTTACCATACGTGCATCCCCTGCGTTGTCTTCTGCTCTACAGTTGTCATCCGAGACTGCTCTTCTGCCTCCAGTCTTCAGGCACTTGTGCCCCTCTGTGCTCTGTGAGTTCCATGTTCCATTACCCAGGGGTCTTGGGACCAGAGTTGCAAGAGAGGCCACCCTCGTCACTTCAAGCTTCGAAAGGTACGCAACAGTAACCATTGGACTTTAAATGAACACATTTGGCTTTTTCAGTAAGGGCCTGTTCACACAATGTCCGTTTTCTGTGCTGACCTGATCCGTACGCTCCTGCACTAAAAATGCATCCCAATGTATCCCTATGTGTTTTATGGGCTACAGTTCTCACGTGCGCAGTCCGTTCAGGTTACGACAGAAAAATACTGCATGTCACATTTTGTACGGTCAGGAAACGGTCCTTAAATGCAAAACACATCAAAAACGCACTGCACTGCAGCTAACATACTGACAGCCCCACTCCAGCAAAAAAAAAAAATGTCAAAAACGCGGCAAAACACATAGCACCGCATCTGGTGATCCGCACCTGATCCAGACCTGATCAGGACCTGAAACTCATGTGAACAAGCCCTAAGGCAAAGAGTAATGGGCATGGTTTAGTAACCCATAGCTACTGGTAAAAATTCACATTTCAGTCTTCTGACATCAGTAAGGTGAAGTCTGAATTCTGGTTGTTATGGGCATGGCATGTCATTGTTGCTTTTTGCACTGCTTTTAGGTAAGTGTAATACTGCACAGAATGAATGGTATGTTTCCTAGGCTAGCACTGACATCACA